AGAATGTGGGTTTGGTCGCAGATAAGCAGAGAAATGGCACTATCGATATCGAATGATATTATAATTAACCGATTTAATGAGTCTCGTGGGAAGATCCCTTGAAATTTTAAATTTGATTTAATTTGCATTAGTTTTAATAATGAACACATGGCACTACAGGCTGAGATTGAGTTTCGTGATTAGCATACATTTTGTTTACAATTATGAATGATAAGAAATTGGAAACAAGTTTTTGTTTTGATGAGGTATTACAAAATATTCAACATCGGGAATCAAATCTTTTGTCAAGGTGTTTATTGTATTAAATTAGATTTCTCAGTAAAAATTATTATTACCAAAAAACAAGAGCATTAATATTTATTGTAAAATATGTTTATTTTTATTGTTAATTTTAATATAATACATTTTGTTAGAACTTGAAATCGATACAATGTATTTGTTATCTTCTTCGACATCTAACTTTGACAGAGACAATTATAAATACAAAATTGAGATAATGGAAATGTTGCTACCCAAGAACTCATATATGGTTTTGCCCATATACCATACATTATTTTAATGTTATGATAAGGTATAAAAAGTTTCTCAACGTTATGATGGACTGTGGGAATTTCAAGATCGCCCGTTTTCAACTCGTTGTGGAGGCAACGAAAAGGGAACCGTGTATAATAATCCGTAGATTGTGAAGTATGCAGCCTGACTGCTATCCGATGTTGATCTTTCCATTTGAATTTCATTTAATGCCCGTGTGTGTGGAATATTTTTTCCTTGTTTTTATTCAATTTCCCTTTCGTTATCCCATCTGTAGGGTTGTGCTGGCTAGATTGGTGTGCCCAGTTTTGCCGGGCATATTTTATGAGCGTTTCTTTTGCTGTTTCTCTTGCTTTTGCTTCCTACCTACTGTCAAAAATTGTTGTTGTCATTTTTATTGAAAGCCAGCGCGCCGGTACAGATACAAAGATACGTCGGGGCAAACACACAGATACAGATACAATGGCGAACTCATAAGTTTTGCTGCTCCCATTTGTGTGCACAATTCGATTCCATACCTTTTTGTGTGCGACGGCAGGCGGCACACGCTCCAAAGCAATTAAGCGCATGAATCAGGTTCGTTCGGTTTTCAGGGCAGGGCAATGTATCTGAGTATCCGAGTATCCGTCCGCGTTCCCCTTGCATTTGTATCTATAGCTGTGTGTGTGTGTGTGTGTGTAAAAAGCGGCATGCGTTTTTTTATGGGCAGCAGAGACGGCAGACACCGGCACAATAAACTTAATTGATATGAAATGAAGTCATTTGGCAAAATCACTGGGAGAGTAATGGACCGCGCTCATTCAATTTGATTTGATGTCGGCCAGTTCGGCTCGACAACAAAGTTATTCGCATACAACCATGCTGTGCAAATTTATTTATATTTATTTTTATATATATTTTTTTATCGGCTTTTCGAAAGCAATTGAGCATATGCGGTATTTACATACATCTGCATATATGCATCGCACATGCATGCGTTTTTTGCCCGGGCCAAAAAGGAGTTTTCAATTAAAAGTTACATTTTTTTTGCTTGTGCGCCAGCAAAGTGCGGAAGCCGTCCGAACTTGTTTGGCCAGTGGCTGTCTATCCGCAGATAAAGCCAAAAACCAAGCAACTGGCTCATAATGGTCATAATTATTAATTAGCCACATATAAGCTGTATCTGCCGTTTCGAACTCGGAAAAACTCGCTGGCAGTTGCAATTTGCCCCGCTGTGCGAGCACTTAAATGGACTTGTTACCGCTCCGAGAGCTGAATGCTAAATGCAAATTCGCCAATTGATATTGATTGAATTGCAGGCTGCACTGGCACATGCAAGGCCTGGGGCTAATTAGTTTTATTTCCAACTGTCCGCTCAAGTGAATGACCACGAACTGCCGACTGCGTCACTTGGACTGGATTGATTTCTCGGAATCGCTGATTAGAAACGCTCCTAATGGCTTGGATTTTGTCGCACTTTTGTGCCACAACTGAGATGATGTCAGTCTCTGGATTAAGACGGGTCCCAGTCCTGCTCCAGGTTCCCAGTTCCCCCTTCCTGGTTCCCTTTTCCCGCCTTATAAAGTGGGTCTACGACATTTCGCATTAATGTGCGCCGTTTAATTGCGTGACTCATCTGCTGTAATCGCCGTCTGCCATCGTCGAGCGAGCTGGTTGCCTGGTTGCCTAGTTGCTTATTTGCCGGAGCTATCTGTTGGGTACTTGTAAGTCTACTTTGAGGCACCGGGGATTGGATCCGGTGGCTTGAATGGCTCTTTGAACTGGTCCCGCTCGCCGACTCTTTCGGCTCGTAATTAATAAGCAACTAAGGTGACTGCAAAACGAGGGACTTGAGTGTCCAATTGATATAAACAACTTAAGAACGATCGATACCAGAGTTTAAGATATAATTTTGGTTAGGAGAGTAGAAAGTGTGACAAAAGAACAGAGATTTTGAAGAAGAATAGGTTCATCCATCTTAAGATACTATAATGTGCAATTATTCCAAAGAACGTATATACATTTTAAAAGGTATTTCATATTTTTCAGACAAATTATTAACAGTTGGGTAATTAAACAAGTAACATGGTTAAGAATTCATAGTACAGATTGATTATCATTTTAATAATAATTATCATTAATAAAGAATTATAAAATTCAATCAAACATTCAATAACTTGAAATTTCAATTCAGCAAAGAATACAATTTTATTGAGCAATTATTTCCCCCCTTGTATTGAATAACTGGTGATTAAGCATATCAAAAATGTTGAGAGCCGATTAATGGGCTATAGACCCATTTGTTTATGCATTCTGTTTTCAATATGGGCATTGCATTATTTTCATTATTTGTTTATTCTCGTTATTAGCGTGAAAAATGCAGGCAAAGGCAGCCCGAGTGTGATTGTAATGAGAGCTACAAATGCTTTTTCTGTTTTTGCATATAATTTTTCCTATTTACATTTTTGCGTAATCGCCGCTGGGCCCATTCAAATGCCAAATGGCCGAGCTGAGCCCGTGTTCTGTTTGTGCAGTCGCATAGTTTCCACCGTATAGCCGATCCATACATATATACGGATCCAGACTGACCAGTTCAGTTCCAGGCCAGGCTATTTCATGCCATGGCAATCCAATCCGTTCATTCATCGCGTCAAGTGTCAGGCCGTCTGTCAGTCAATCAGAAAACGGTTTGAGTAACAATTTAATTAATTTCAGTACGAAATGCGGACCTGTTGTGCCACAGATATTAGATATCATAGTGCTCTCGCACACATAATTCTGCGGCTCTGAATGAAATTGCCTTTTAATTATGCCTAATACTCGTGACATGACTCAATTAAATGGCATACTCGGACGATGACTGGTACAATTTCAGAAACTGGAACCCATCCCCAAGATATCAGATTCAGATAGAGATTCAGAACCCGAGCGAAAGAGAAAGCTCGTTTCGCACTCATATTAGTTTGTGTTATCTAGCTTGGTATGGTAATTAACACAAGCACAAACTGTATCTATGAAATGAATCAGCTTGTACGGTTAGCTGGAATCATAACTATAAGATCGAATAGGGTAGTCAATTTTATAGGACTGACCAAGAAATTAAATGTACTTCAATCAATAGGAAACTGAATATCCTAATAAATATATCTATAATTTTTTTATAACAATGGTTTCCTATAAAAGATTCTATGGCTGATTTTGCTAGGGACCTATTGATTACCTATCTCCCCAGAACCCCTCAATATTCGCTTGTTTATACTTATAAATGCGCAGTCATTGATAATTGGGTTTCTTTGGCATTATTATGTGTGCCCAATCATTTGTTTACATTCCGTATAGTTGCGGCAATTGACAGTGCAATGTTTCCCCGATTGCGATTACTAAACTGGTAATAAATGGCAGAGTGCTGAGGCAGGCCATATGTTCAACGACAAGGGGCTTGGAATTGGAAATGGGGAATGGGAATGGGACAGAATAAATACGAATTTTCAGCACATTTTACCGGAGTCATCAATGTACAGGAAACACCAAAATCAACAACATTTACAAGAGCTGGCAAAAAGCAGCGGCATCATCATGAAATTGAAATTAATTATATGTCAACAACGTGATTACAGAGAAATTTAACTAATTTGATATCGCTGTATTATACCGAGAGCTGAATGGGTTGATAAGATAAGATTTTAAGTAATTTATCGTGTTTCGATGGTCAATTAATTCTAAATCGAATGCTTGACTTTCTATTTGCACTGATATATTAGAATGCGAAAAAATAAATGCAAACAAATATCGGTTGACATTTTTATAGGGGGCTTAATTAAAAAAAATTGGGTCTTATCTGATGTAAAATTGTTTCTTTTTTATATTTTATGATATTTGCTGTTAGGTGGATCCCCATTATTTTTAGACTTGGCATGGTGATATCACATAAATGTTTAAATAACTGATTGACAAGAATAAATCAAATTTATTAGACCTGCTGCAGTGAAAAAACTAGGGGTAAACCTTATTTATTAAGAAGGATATATATTTTTTCGTTTTTAACTTCTCTTTTTATAAAGATATGACCATATGATATACCTTGATAAAAATAAACAAAAATCAAAAAGGTCAAAACTTTAAAAACTTTTTTTAAAATTCTTTTTTTAGTTATTATTGCCCTAGAAATAGACTAAATGTTGTGAAGCTTGCAGTTTGTAATTGAGATTAATTCTAGGGCTAGGGGTCGAAAGTTGACTATCAGTGAAAATCTTTGTGAATCCCGCAAGTCTGTTAGGCCTAGTGTAAATATTAATAAATAGAGTATTCCACGTGTAAATAATGTAGGTGTTTATTGTGACTAAAAGGCCGTAAAAACAAGTCTGATTGGCTGCTTATCTAGACGCAGAACCTTTGGCCTTGACCTGACACTGGGAATTCCGGGAATTGTGTGGTATTTTCAAGAACTTGTACTTAAACGATGACCTATGGCCGCTTAGAACGTTGCTTACCTTTTGGGGGGGCCACTCGGGCGGTTTTCAATGATTGTATCCGAAAGACTCAAGGTGGTGGGTGGAAATCGGAAATCCAATTAAACGATTTTACTCCCCTCGCCGTGTTGTTGGGTAAACGGTTTTTATGGTTGAACTATTTATAGTTTGGCTTTCAAAGGTCACCTTATGTGGGTGGTGGTGGTATTTCCGCCTCTTTTTTGTTATTCAGTTTAATTTCTTTTGGTTTCCTTTTGTTTTCACTTTTTGTTGTTATCCTTTTCCAGCTCACTTTTTACTCGCTGACGTTTTACACGGCTCGTTGGCTTCGCTGCTGATTATAATCCTTAATTAGTCTAACGAGTTGCAAATTAATCCACTTTCCCTAATTAAATTGCCTTTGCCGCGAATACAGAAAAAACACAAAACGCAACTGCCAATGGCGATGTCATTTAAAACCAATAAAAAACAAAAAACAAAATAAGCGATACAAAAATTGACAAATGAAAGAAAAGGAACGAGGGGTATGGAAATGTAATTAATTCATTAGCCTGCCAATTGACAATTATTGATTATTGTTTTGCCTTTGCGTTTGCGAATTAATTTTAATGTATTTTGACTGGCTGTTTTTGAGTTTAGCTGCACAATTTGTTATTGCCCGCACGTCGTTCATTTATTTAATTTTTAATTATTTTGAAATGCGTTCTGGTTTCATAATTGGCAGCCCATTGTCTCTGCAATCTCGCTCTAAAATGCCATTGTAATTTAATTAAATTTATTCGTATTCATTCATTTATTGTGAAACAATGTGCAGGCCAGAAAGCGACCCTGTTTTTGCTTCATTTGTCTTGTGTTCGCTTCCAATTTGGCCATTTGCCTCGTTAAAATATTGAAAATGTGGCGAAATGCGCCTAACAATTGTATTAGCCCAGGCAATTAATTGTAACAAGAAAATCTGCATGTTTAAATACATTTTCTTTGCTGAGTACCTTGAACATTTGTCCGAATACTTTGTATATTTAAATGACGAGATATAAAAGCAAGAATTCAGGAAATACAATGACAATATCTTGGCGCATAAATACCGACGGCACTTGCTAATTAGTTGGTGAAATTTAGGTGAGGCTTAAAAGGGGTCAGATCATATGATTCACTGCTTTGCTTGGCATTTAACTGCGTTTTTGTTTAATTGTTTTCTTTAATTGAAACATTTTTATAAGCTTTTCGACCGTTCCGACCATAATGACGTGAACTTTTCGGCACTTAAATGGCAGCTTTAGCGCTTTATATCCATTATATAGTTATTTATTTACTCTTGCTTATTTATATTTATTATTAATGCGAACGAGCAGAGCGGCAACGGCAAACGACAGCATTTATGGCTGGGTAGCGTAATTAATGGGAAACGAACACACGGCCGACCATAGAGTGGACTTCAATTGCGATCGAGCGAATGCTTTATTTATAACACCTTTTTGCCCACTGAATTTAATTGAGTAATTGAAATACTTTTTTGAAAATGAAAATTTCCTTTTTTGCACTCGCCTCATAATTTATTTATGAGAGAATCTATATTTGTGCCAGGCCAAATGAAATGAATTGAAAATCAATTGGCAGCAGTGCGGCTGCGTAACCTGTCAGCGTTGTTCGCGTTGACAAATTGCCCGCCGAGCGTGCGAACCAGCAATAACAAAGGCGGGGAGGAAAAAAAGATACAAAATGTGGGCAAACAACAACACTGGAGGTGTGAGCGGCCAAAGTATCTTGCAGATACACCAGCCAGCAATTAGCGCCAATGGGCAGAAGATGCCGTTTTTGTGGTCGCCAACTACCGCTTTTAAACTGCTGACCATATAAACTTGATAACCGATTGCCGTCGGTGGGAATTAAGAGAGCCTTGTCGCACAAAATAAACAAATTAATGGTAAATGCCAAGCGAAAATCATAAAAGCAAGAATCCCAGAGCGATATATAAATATAGTATGTATATATATATTATGTTCGTATTATAAGATATCGCATAATGGCGCTTGACGTTGCTCTTGCCGCGCTAATTCCTTTGACCAGCAAACGCGACAATAACAAACAGACGAAATGCTAATTAGTTTCATGTGTGACTAATGGACACAAAAGCGGCACAAATACACACGTTCCTTTCGTTTCGTATCGTATCGTTCGCACAGAAAACAGCTCAGATACAAAGATACACATGCGTGACTTCTTTTCGTTGTTGTTATGGTTGTTATTGCTGTTATTGCTGTTGTTGTTGTTGTTGCCGTGGCACACACTTAATTAAAATAGTACACTCTCTCTGAGGGGGTCGATTGTTCAGCTTTACCATTCAGTACCATTCCTTGTATGGCCTCATGCCTAATTATAATTACGTGGCGCGTAAATTGAATTTGACTTTTAGACCCCGCGGGTCAAGCGATACGATTGTGTTACCGGCGAACTCTTCGGTTATGGTCGAGTATCTCGACCAGAAAGCACCCGAAAAATGGCTGGGAAATTATAGACGACGACGACGACAGTCCGATACGGATACCGAAACACCGACCGGGACCACGACGGCAGCGATTCTGAACGACTTCTGAGTGCGAGCGCTATAAAGCACGAAAACGACGTTGTCGACAAACGACGACAACAGCAACGACTGTTGCTGGTGTTGCTGATGTTGCTGTGTTGCTGGTGTTCTGTGCTGTTGCTGTGTTGCTGCTAATGTTGCTGCTGTGACGTTGCTTGTGAGCCGCCTGTGTGAACTGCGCCGTGCAACTATTTAACGACGACTGAATGTGGCAATTATGTATCTAGATACATTTTGGCCAAACGCGTCGCGCGTCTGTTTGTGTGCGGGGGTTGCTAAACGAGGGAACCATCATAAAACATATTACTATAATTACAATTACGGTGCGCTCAGAGAGACAGAGAGCGGGTGCGATAAAGATAGAGCATCCGAAACAGATTCGGATACACAGATACATATAAAGATACAGATACAAGCAGCTATCGCGCACGTGAACATAACGCACGGCAATAAAACACAAATTTTCATATGCATTACGGCTTAATTGTATCTCGTTGTTCAGCGGTGGTATTTCCCCGTGTGTGTGTGTGTGTGTGCGGGGCTCATAAATTTCTGACAGTGCTGTTGCTGGCGTGCTAGCAACATGTTGCTAGTCCCTGGCTCGATTATTTCACTTTATTAAATGCTGAATGTGTTTTATTGCTTTGATTGTTGCTGCCGCAGCGCAGCGTCTCCGTGCACTAGGAAAAATGAGGAGTAACTTAAGGTGTCCCTAATAAAAATTAGGAAAAATATATTTTCAATTAATAGAGCTTTAAATTATAAAAAGATTTATATCTTTTCCTTTAATCAAGTATCTTACAAGTTTCTGTTCCATTTTTTCTTTCCTTTTGACTTGGTATATTTAAAATAATTTTTTTATGATTGTATATAAATAGTTCTTGTCTTCCTAAAAAAAGCTTTATTTTCTTGAACTTTGTTATAAAAAGTTCGTTTTTTTCCAGGTGCATATCTTTGTGCATTGCAAATTGCCGACGTTGCCTGGCTCTGCCTTTGAGTTTGTTTTTAATTCTCCATAATTGAGTTATATGTACATACTTTAATAAGTTGGCGGATGCTGATGCTGTTGCTCTGGGGAGTTCATGTTGCTGGCGTCGTTGCTAATGTTGCTGCCGTTGCTGCTGCTGCTGCCGTCGTTACCGCTGTTGTTGCGACGGCGTTTAGCGCTAATTAATGCTGAGCCAACGGCTTTTCAATGCTTTTTATTGCTTTCGGCCTTTCGGTTCGCTGGCTTGTCTTTCTCCTCTTAATTGCTCACCGAGATTTATTATTTGATTAATTATTGAGATTTCGTTGCCATATTCACCGCTCACATTTCGAATTCGAATCGCCTCGTTTCGCCTCGTCTTCGCCACTCTTTCCAATTTCTTAAAAAGCTTTTGCTGTTGTTGGCAATAATTGGTGTATAATTTCATTTCCTGAGAACGTCGCTTTGGGTCACCGCACACACAAGAGCCATTCATTGTCTTTACAGGAATGTCGTAATTCAATTTGTGTTGTTAGTCAGCAAAAGCGAGTCTGTGTGCGTGCCTTTTCCCTTCTGTTTTTTTTTTGATTTTGCTTAATAATAATTATAAGTTATAAGAGGGGCGACAGCTCAATTAGCTATAAGGGTGCGATTATTAATGGGCGATGTTATGCTTGTGATAAGCCCAATTACTCATGATTGCCATACGTTTATTTTTAGGTTATCGCGCGAGTTTCTATATATTCGCGAATGATTAATGCGGATTCAATTGCGGTCGAACAACGCGAAATTCCCGCCATTCAAATAATGGTCTCGGCAAACCTAATCTGCTGGCTATTCGGACATGAACTCTGCTCACATCTAAAGGGCAAGAAAACCGATCCGAACAGAACAGTTTAAGCTTCCAGCATCATTAGGGAAGTGAAGCCACAATAACAATGGACCGGCTATGAGTGCCCTGATTGCTCATTTAAATTGTACGGGCTGCAAATTGAATTGAATTGGGAATTCGCAAAAAGGGATTGAAAAGGGCAACGGCGGCAACTAAAAATAACTGCGAAAATATGAAACGAGAAATAACATCAACAAGATGCTGATGTTGCTGCTGCACAAGACGAAGATGAAGCAATTTAGATACACTTGAATAGCAGCACGACGAGCAAACAAGGCGGGGAGTCGTGGAAGTCACTTCAAATAAACACGGCTACACAGAGAACAATGGGGAGCACCGTATCATATCAACAATTTAATCATTGACATAGTAATAAAAATCAAATCAAAGCCATTTATTGCTTATTAGGCTACTTAGAATTGTAACGTTTCCGCTGAACTCACAATCTCACATTTTATTGAAATATGGCAATTAAGAAATATTTGATTAATTTTATGCTTTTTTTGGTATTCGAGGTATTTCCCGAGAAATTTGGTATACTCAAGTTCATTAAAATATCAAGGTTGGGGGACTTATTTGACCTTTTTATAGGCTTAAATTTTGATTAAAGTGACTTATAGTCAAAACTCGGCAATTAAAATTTTG